AATATGGGAAAGTGAACACTTAGTAAAATATTGTCACCCTGATGAATGAGTCAGCAAGATAATGAGAAACTTCATTATAAGGGATCTTGAAAGATGATAGGAAACTTTTGTCGTAAGAGACCTTGAAAGATAACAGAATATCCATCCGTTAATTACAGCATCTGCAAGGATCCATCTGGTTGGAGCCAGTTTTGCGGTTACTGGCTGAAGTAACTCAGCATTCTGGGATAAAGGTGAAGAGCACATGGTGAAGAAGACCATGAGCCTTCCTCCAAAAGAGCCCGGCCCATGACTACCGGATGGCAGTATGCATGCAGCAAGAGGAGGAGACTTAGGATAATGAGTTCCCAGAAATAATTATAATAATCACACCTAATCTTAAAACTAATTGTAATAATCCAGCCTATACTAATGAATATGCGTATTTTTGTATCATAAATGATGCCTGCTTCATGATACGGTGTGCAAGCTCGAAGGAGCGATCCCCCTTTCACCCAGCGCTGCAATAAACATACCTGCTTTATAACTCTTTGTGAGTTGTAAAGTTTGTTTCTGCATGTCATAAACAGGGATGCATCTTGGTCATGGAAAGGAGTGGTTTAATGGCCCTGTGTCTTCTGCAGAGATCTTTCAGGAAATGTAAGATCTCATCTATGCTGCATTTAAGCAGCTCAGAAAACATAGTATCTTAATAAAGTTAATATTCTGGAGTCCCTTCCATTTCCTAGGGACATGGGAAGCCTTGCAGCTAAAGGATATGAAAGATCACACAGCAGTGGAAGCAAAAGAAAATACACTGCTTTATATGTTGACAAGGATAAGCATCTGGGGTATGTCTGAAGTTGAGCCACGACTCTTGCACTGGCCCACCAGAGTGAACATGTGTGATTCAAGAGGCATAAGACAGCAGATATGAACAGTATGACTAGATTGCACTCACAGCATAGTTGAAGTTGGGAGAGACCTCTGGAGATGCTATAGTCCAACTTCCATGCTCAAAGCAGGGTCAGCTAGAGCAGGTCACAAAGGACTGTGTCCAGTTCAGTTCTGAATAACTCCAAGGACAGAAACTTTCCAGTCAACCCGCTCCAGTGTTAACCACCCTCATAGTGAAAAACAAAACCAAAAAAATACCCAAGTTTTTTCTCATGTTCTGTCATGATTTGAGCCCAGAGGTCAACTGAGCACCACACAGCCACTCACTCACCTCTTCCCCCTCAGGAATTGAAAGGAGAAAATAAAGCAAAAGGCTCCAGAATTGAGATAAGAACAGGGAGGGGTGACTCACCCATTATGGTCAGGGGCAAAAGACAGACTCATTAGTGGAAGAAAAAAGAACATCAATTTAATTCAAACACTAACAGCACCACCACCTAACAGACAGAGTAGGACAGTGAGAAGCATTACCACATCTTAAAAATACCTTCCCCCTACCCCTCAATTCTTCAGCTCAGATTTGCTCCTGATTTTTCTCCCTCCTCCCCCACAGCAGCACAGTGGGGGCAGAGGATGGGCGTTGTGGTCAGTTCATCACCCATTGTATCTGCTGCTCTTTTCTCCTCAGATGGAGGACTCCTCACACTCCTCCCCTGCTTCAGCATGTGGTCATTCTCACAGGAAACAGTCCTCCATGTGTTGTCCCAAAACCGGAGGTTCTTCACCCAGTGTGCAAAAAGCCAATTAGCACACTGATTCGAGATAATCGTATATATTCCATGAATGCGCATGCATGGGTGCCTGCCCCAAGACAGCACACCATGGTCCTGAAAATTACAATTATTTATACACACAATTTATGCATATTCAATACCCCGATACATATCTGCCAAATGATTGGTCACAATCTCTATGCTTAACATGTAAATAAGCATGCATGGCTAGTTTGCCCTCTCTGCCTTCTTCTTTTGAGTCTGGGGTGTCAATGAGTCCCAGCAGGTCAATGAGTCAGTGGCTGCAGTCTCCCCCTGCTGGAATTACCTTTTACCTAGTTTCCTCCTAATTTGGCATACATAGGCAGTTCATCACACTTCACTGTCACTATTTCCCATTAATCCTACCTAGGCTTCTACTTTTTGTCCAGTATACACAATAACAGATTGTTTCAAGGTTAATCATCTGTTTCTACCATTGTTCTAACAGCTAATCATTTGGTTACATAGTGTGATCCTGATTACAGAACAAAACTTAGATTCTGAGCTGCAGATCATATGAGAAATATTATTGTTTTGTCATTTGGTAAATTTTTCATCTTTTACCCTTTTACAACACATGAACTTCCTCTGACATGAGTCCTTCCCTGTCCATGGTTTGAGTGGGTGGTGGGGTTTTTTGGTAGCAGGGGAAGGGGCTATAGGGGCGGCCTCCTGTGAGAAGCTTCTTGAAGCTCCCCCAGCTCCAAGTCAGCTTCACCTCTGCACCAAAACTGAGCCAATCAGCTGCGCCTCTGCGATAATGTATTTAAGAAGGGATGTGGTGAGAAGCAGTGGGACTTGTGAGGAGGAGCTGCTGCAGCTGCATGAACACCAAGGTCAGTGGAGGAACGGAGGAAGAAAGGAGGGGGTAGGTGTGCTGGAGCAGAGACCCCCCTGTATCCTGTGGTGAGATGGCAGGGCGGCCCCCCCCTGCCACCCATGAAGATCTACGGTGGAGCAGACACTGATTTATGGCCTGTCTTTTTCGCATGGATGATCAAGGTGTCGGTGCCTGAAGAAGGCTGGGGTCTTGTGGGAAAAGGTAGTCCCTACTGTTGCAGTTCAGCACTGGGGTGACTGCAGCATGCAGGGGTGTCCCATGCCAGAGCAGCTCGGGAAGGGCTGCAGCCGTGGGAGGGACTCCAGTTGGAGAAAGTTGGTGTTCCATGCCAGAACAGTGTAAGGAAAAGATGCAGCCCATGGGAGGGACCCAGGGGTCCCAGTACAAAAAAGACATGGACGTCTTAGAATAGGTCCAGAAGAGGGCCACAAAAATGATCTGAGGTCCGGAACACCCCTCCTATGAAGAAAGGCTGAGAGATTTGGGCTTGTTTAATCTGGAGAAGAGAAAGCTCTGGGGAGACCTTATCATGGTATTTCAATATATACAGGGGACTTATAAGCAAGACAGAATGACTGTTTGACAGGGCCTGTTAAACAGGACAAGGGGCAACAGTTTTAAACTGAAAGAAGATAGATTTATATTAGACATACAGAACACATTTTTTACAATGAAGATGGTGAGACACTGGAACAGGTTGCCTGGAGAAGTTGTGGATGCTCCACCATTGTCAAGGTTCAAGGTCAGGTTGGATAGGGCTTTGAGCACCACAGTCTAGTGACAGATGTACCTGCCCAAGGCAGATGGATCGGACAAGGTGGTCTTTGAAGGTACCTTCCAATCCAAACTGTTCGCTGATTCTATGATTCTCATGTATCTGAGAAACAGTTTTGGGCAGGCTTTGAGCCATGACAGAAGCAGAAGTGTGGGGCTTCCTCAGGTGCTGACACTGGGGCTCTGTTACGGATTGGGACTGATTGCTGGGATGTTTCTTTCTCCATCACATCTTGTTAGATGGATACAGTACAGTTCTGAGGAGGACATAAGAAAGGGCATGCTGGGTTTTGTCTTTCTAGGAAGTTCTATCCAGTGAAACACCATGAGACAGAGGGAGGTGGGAAGAAAACACAAATTTGAGATGTCCCTTACAAGAATTTGTAAGGTACCTTACAACTGTCTTTTTCTGACAATTTGTAATAAAGGATCTGTTATGTTGTATCCAGGTATAGCAGTCTGTCCTTTATGGAGGAGTTAAAAGAATGCATGCACAGACTGTCAGCACCTCCAGCTAACATCACCATCACAACCCATCTAGCAGACGGAGGCCGAGGAGACCACACTGCGTATGGAGACTAGCTCCAGCTCACTCACTCGCCTGCCAGCATATGCCACTCAGAAACGAACTGTTCATGCCCACATTTCATCCAGTGAACCACAGGAATGTCTCTTCCTGTGCAAGTAATTCCCAGTCTCTTAGATTTCCAGCCAGTTCCTCCTAGAAACTCAGTTCTTTCCTTGCTTAGCCACAGGACTTGCCAAACACTTTTAAATGGCTATTGGCAGGGGGGATAAGAACACACAGTGGGGAATGGGGGAAGAAGGATAGATGGACAGATGGGTAGAGCGATGGCTATGTGTGAATGTGCAGGCAAGGATGGATTACTAAATGGACTGCACTGTAGATAAGTGGGTAGAAATATCTCCAGCATTTGTCCCTGATTCAGAACAGCCACCATGCATAGAGATACTGCCTAGAGGCTGGTATCACCCTCTGTTCTTTACAAGACACAAAATAACAGGCTGACAACACAGGCAGCTTTGTATGAAACAAAGGCTATTCTAGCTGTCTTCAGATGGAAAGTCCTGTCTTTCAGTGTGCGTTTCATCAAATCTCAGAAGAGACATCTAAAGTTCAGTGGCAGAATTACACCCTTGAAATAGTTTCTTTTCCCATGACTCCGAGGAGACGAGCAAGAAGGTGTCCAGATGAAAGGAAGGCTTAGGGTCAGCGAGAACAATCTCAGTTTAATTCCCAACTGCAAAATTCTTAATTCTCGATTAGAAATATTAAAAACCACTTCACTGGCATTTATTTTAACTCTTAACTAAATGACTGTTTTACCGAATTCCTCCGAATTGCTTTCTCACCTCTCCGTGCAACAGGAACAACCTGTCTCTCAGTGTTTTAATTAGACCCTTCCCACTCTGGCGTTTTACTGCACTTGCCCAGTGGATCCTTGCTCTGCTGGGCAGCTGCTCGAGCTTTGCTCGTTCCTCTGTTTCTCCTGCTTCGTTTCGGGCTGGTTTACCATCCCGTTTCTAAGCGACCGACCACCCCGCTGGAGCCACGTCCTCCTGCCTCCCGCCCTGTCCCCTGCGCTCTGGTACTGGAGGGGTTAATGCTCTGGGGCGCGCTGGCCCTTTAAGGGCCCCCCCCTCCCCCCACCCCCCCGGCTGGTGGTGACGATCGGGTGCGGGCAGCACGCATGCGCACGCGGTGTGGCGGGGCGTGCGCGCAGTCGGCCCAGCGATGCGGGTGCTCGTGGGTGAGCGTGGGGGACGGGCGTGGGATTCGCTCGGCCGCCGCGGGGCTGCAGCCAGGCCGCTGCCGGGGGCGTGGTGGGCGCTGGGGGAGCCAGTCCTGAGTGGGGGCCCCGGGGCGCTGTGGGGTGCCGCGCACGGCGGGTGCGTGCAGGGGCTCGGGGATGGGGACGTCGTTTAAGGCCTGGATTGAGGGTGCTGTGGGCTGAGGTGGAAGGCAGGCCCCTCTGCCCCCCCCCCCCAAGGACTAGGCGGGAGAAGCGTGGTGTGTGGCGACAAAAGCCCACAGGGCTGGGGTGCTCTGCAAGGGCGCTGGGGGCAGCGGGGTCCGGGGTGCTCTGCGGGGGTGCTGGGCCCTGAGGGAACAGGGCCTGGGGTGTTCTGCAGGGCTGCTGGGGGAATGGGGTTCGGGGTGCTCTGCAGGGGTGCTGGGCCCTGAGGGAACGGGGTCCGGGGTGCTCTGCAAGGGCACTGGGGGAATGGGGTCTGGGGTGCTCTGCAGGGGTGCTGGGCCCTGAGGGAATGGGATCCGGGGTGCTCTGCAGGGGTGCTGGGCACTGGGGGAACGGGGTCCGGGGTGCTCTGCAAGGGCACTGGGGGCAGCGGGGTCCGGGGTGCTCTGCGGGGGTGCTGGGTACTGAGGGAATAGGGCCTGGGGTGCTCTGCAGGGCTGCTGGGGGAATGGGGTTTAGGGTGCTCTGCAGGGGTGCTGCGCACTGAGGGAACGGGGTCCGGGGTGCTCTGCAAGGGCGCTGGGGGCAGCGGGGTCAGTGGTGAACTGCAGGGGTGCTGGGGGAACGGGGTCTGGGGTGCTCTGAAGGGGTGCTGGGGGCAGCAGGATCTGAGGTGCTCTGCAGGGGTGCTGGGTGGTGGGGGAATGGGGTCTGGGGTGCTCTGTAGGGGTGCTGGGAGCAGCGGGGTCCGGGGTCCTCTGCGGGGGTGCTGGGTGCTGGGGGAATGGGGTCCGGGGTGCTCTGTAGGGGTGCTGGGCGCTGAGGGAACAGGGTCTGGGGTGCTCTGCAGGGCTGCTGGGCACTGGGGGAATGGGGACCGGGGTGCTCTGCAGGAGTGCTGGGGGCAGCAGGGTCCAGGGTGCTCTGCGGGGGTGCTGGGCCCTGAGGGAATGGGGTCTGGGGTGCTCTGCAAGGGCACTGGGGGAGCGGGGTCTGTGGTGCTCTGCAGGGGTGCTGGGGGCAGCAGGGTCCAGCGTGCTCTGCACAGTAATGTATCCCGGGAAGCTGTCCGTGGTAATGGGGACATCTGTGCATGCCTTGGGATGCCAGTCCCGGTAGCAAATCAGTAATATCTTTCTCCTAGGTGGTGGGACTGGCTTTGTGGGTAGAGCCCTGACCCAGCTGCTGTGGAGCCGTGGGCATGAAGTGACTCACATCTCTCGACAAGGGGACAAGGATCGGATCAGCTGGGTATGAGATGAGAGTGGTCACAGGAGGGAGAACATGTCTAGGGCTGAGGAGTAAGCCCACTTGCCCTGGCCTGCCAGGGCATACAGGGAATTTGCAGTGGGGAAGCAGGCTCCTGTGGATGTACTTGGGCTCCTTTGTGATCCATGGGTCTTAGTCATTGGGATGGGTACTGCAAAACCCTCTCCATTCATGCTTGTGCTCCAGGCAGTGTCAGGAATGAACTGACTGGAGTTCATAGGAGTCCACCCTGCTTGATTGTCGGGAAGGCTTGAGCAAAGAAGAGGCTGGGTGTGTGATGTCTCTGTTATCCCTGCCTAGGAAGAGTTGTCCCACTCTGGACTGCCCCGGTGCGATGCTGTGGTGAACTTGGCTGGTGAAAATGTCCTCAACCCTTTCCGCAGGTAACTTGATTTGCCACAGTGCTGTTGGGACAAAGGTGAAGGCAAGACAGCCCAGTGTTTGTGAAAGGGATGTGGGGAGGAAACAGTGTGTCCAGGAAGCACTTGGGTTACCTAACTGTTGATTTTGAGGTCCTCTCAAGTATCAAAAACATTTGTTTGGGCCTGTTAAGTTCTGGGAGACCTTTGGAAGACAGGCCCCCTTCTGGATTGACAGTTGGAGGCCAGGCAAAGTAGTTCCACATTTCCAAAATGATACTGGATGCCTACATTTAGATAATGCAAAATCAGAACAAAAATCTTCTGTGAGGATGTTTTTGGAAATGCCTTCACTGGGCAGTTGGGAAGAATTAACCGCACCCAGCTTTGGTGTCCAGCGCCTCTGATACCTTTGTCCTAAGGCAGTTCAAAACCCACAGCCTTTTGTGGGAAGTGGAGAGCCACTATCTCCCAAAGTCCCTGTGCATTTACATAGTAAGAGCCCATGTCCTCCTCCTGCTCTGGAATGGCAGCAAATTCACATGAGATCTCCTATTCTTGTGAGTAGGTGTCTGCTGAAACTCCCTTGGTGCTGTTTCTTGGGATGTCTTTGTGGGGGAGTATAATCAGCAGCTCTCCTTTTCTCAGATGGAACGATGCCTTCTGCAGGGATGTCATCAGTAGCCGGGTTGAGACCACCAATACCTTGGCCAAAGCCATTGCTGATGCTGAACAGCCACCCCATGCTTGGGTCCTCGTCACCGGCGTAGGTATTGGTTGAGCCTGGCCAAGGCATGGCTCGTGCTGACCTGGAGGGAGTATATCTCCAGATAGAAACACACTTCTTGGGGGACACATGACTTGCCTTGAAATGCCAGCTTTATTGCCATCAGTGTCACTGTTTAGTCCAGCCTCGATCAGCTTTTTGGTACTGCTGGAGAGGAATTTGAGTCTCTGTGCTTTCTCTTGTTGTCATGAGGGTAGGACCTTTCCTCCATTTTCCTGTGAAAGCCTTTAGGCATCCTGTAGAATCAGTTTGTCTAAGCAGGACCTCAGCTGGAACCCCCTGCATATATCCAACTTTGCACTGCTGCTTGCTACATACAGTCTTTAAAGCTGCCACAGTTTAGCATCTGTGATGTGCAAGTTTAGAGCAAGCACATTTCTATGCAACCAGCTTAGTGTGGTGCTTGCTGGTATACTTGGTTCTTGGGGCTGCCAGCTCAACCTGAGTATTAGTTCATCCCGCTGAACTTGCAGAGCACATCGGTATTTCAAAAACTTGTCAGAATTGCCATCAGAGAGACCCTGTGCTGTTCATATGAGGATATCCCTGATGGAACGATCGAGTTCTGGGTGCCTGAAGGCAGGAAAGAGGTGGGTGGTGGCCTGTTTTGGGGACAGATGGCTTGTGTTGTGATTCAACCCTGACACCCTTTCTGTTGTTAAACCTGCAGGCTATTACCACCCTAGCCCCACAGCTGAGTATACTGAAGACAGTCCTGGGGGGGATTTTGACTTCTTCTCACGCCTGGTGAGCTCCTGGGAGGCTGCAGCTCTCATCCCTCAGAGCCCAGCTCGTGGTATTGTGGTGAGATCCGGTGAGATGGGACATCATACCTGTTCAGGGTGGCTCTGCTTTGGTGCTGGGGGAAGAGGAGGGAAAAGAACATCAGGTCTTGTGCCTGTCATTGTTGGGGTGCTGTTCCAGTCCAATCCTCTAAAGATTGTTTCCTGGTTGTGGGGTCTGGGGGTGAAGGGGTGCTTTTATTCTTTGTGGGGGCAGTGCTGGTCTCACTCCGTTCTCCCCACAGGGGTGGTTCTGGGCCAAGGTGGTGGTGCAATCTCTCAGATGATCTGGCCTTTCCGTCTGGGTCTAGGAGGCCCCTTGGGCTCTGGGCTCCAGCCCTTCCCATGGATCCACATTCGGGACCTGGCTGGGATCATATGTCATGCCCTGGAGAGTGAGTGCCTGCAAGGCATCTTCAATGGTGTCTCTCCATCCTCCCCTGCCACCTCCAATGGCACCTTTGCTCAGGAGCTTGCTTCAGCTCTAGGACGCCCAGCCCTGCTGCCAGTGCCTGCTTGGGCTGTGCGGGCTGTCTTTGGGGCAGAGAGGGCCATCATGCTGTTGGAGGGACAGAAGGTGGTGCCAAAACGCACCCTGGAGAGTGGCTACCGTTTCATCTTTCCTGACCTTTCTGGAGCTCTGAAGGACATTGTGGCTTGAGGACTCCTCGGTTGGACTGGGTTGGGCTCTGTTTTTGTGAGCTCCCTGGCTCACATGCCGTCCCCTGGGTGAAATAGGGTGGCCCCGCCCCTCCTTGACACTTCCCCATCCCCATCCAGAGAGGGTGAGCTGTCTTTTCCCCTGCCTATTCTTGACACTTCCCCATCCAGACAGGGTGAGCTATCTTTTCCCCTTCTGTCTCCCTTTGTACATCTCCAGTTTAGGAGTCATCCTTTTTACTGCCATCTGCAATCTCCACATTACCTGCTTTTGGAGAAGGTCACAAGCCCCTCTGAGGATTGTGACTTCTGAATCTGCCATCTTCCCTTTTTCACAGTGTGCATGTGAGCTGTTTGCAGAGCAGCTGGGGGTGTACTGTCTCCTCCCATGAGAGAGGTGGCAGCAGGAAAGTGTTCAGGTGTCGCAATTCTCCATGTCAGAAGGATAGGAAGTCCCTCTTCCTGTTTTTCCACGTCTTTCCCCCATCGTCACATAGAGACCTAGTTATGCTCTTCTGCTTTGCCTTTCTCAGTCTCATAGGGAATGGAGTTGTGGTTGTGGGAAAAGATCCGTCCTGAGGGGGTGCAAAGGGTTCTGGATATGGATGGCTTGGAGACTTTGCCATCTCCTTTCTTGTGGTGGCTCTGTGCTGGTAACAAGTCGCAGTGTCAGAACTTCCAGCTGAGTCTAGGCCCAAGAGTTGCATCCCTCCAGGGTTGCATAATACCAGTGCTGTGGTGGAGATGGAGAACACTGCTTTGCCAGCGTGTAGGAACAAGGGTGATGGTGGGAACTGGGTGATTCATCTTGGTGTGAAGTAGTGCAAAGCATTGCTTTAGTCTAAAGGAAGCTCTTTAGCTATTGTCTTTGTTGTAGTCATCTAAAACCAGGCAGGATGGCCTTCCCTTATTCATCCCATATAAGCTGAAGGGTCATTCTTGGTGGTATCTAGACTCGCCACTTACCTGCCTCTTTGCTCGGTCTATACTGAAGATGGAATGGCAATCTGCTGACTTTCCAAGCAGGAAAATGAGAGTGTGACTGTCCAGCTGGAACTGGAGATAGTCCTTGCAGTCAGTGTGAGCACAGCTGGGTGAGCTGAGACTTCAGGAATAGCTATGAAAGCAACATCAATTGCTTGGATTGTGTTTTTGTTGCCTCTAAGTTAGGCACAGATTCCTTCCTCCTCCCATGTGCCTCAATTTCCTGTCCTCGAGAGTGGGCTGATCTACTTGGCCCAGTTCATTGTGGGGCAATACATTGGGGACAATTAGCAGTGCTGCTTCTTTAGTTACTCCAGCTACGTTTTGAGATCATCGGACTTCGGTCTGCTTCCCCTGATATTGTGGGCTACAGTATCCTTCTGCCAGGCAAGCTGGTCAGCCAGCCCAGTTAGGTTGTTTCTGTACCTGTATGTACCTTGATTGCAACAGCTTTGGTTTGTGATTGGAAATAAAGTCAAGTACAGCTGGAGAAGTCCTGGCAACCCATAGTTCTTCTGAAAGATGGTTGCATATCCCATGAAGGACCATTAAGAAACAGAGTTCCCAGGCCTTGGAGTCCCTGCTTGGATGTATAACTCACTTATGATTTTGAAGGGTTGCCTGTGCATGATGTTTTGGCTTAAACATGTCACAGGACTTAAATGATCTTCTGACACCTGAATCCCAGTGTGGGATCTGAAAACACTGGCTGCTGGGTGCAATTAGGACTTCCATATGATAAACTCACACACAGAGCATACCCCTTTGTCTACTGTGGAGACAGTGTGTATTAGAGTGACAGCAGGCTGAGGTCTAGATTGGATTTTGGACCGGTGTCTTAAGGAAACTCTGGCCAAGAGGCTGCAAGTCTTTGTGATCTAAGTACAGGTCTTGTGCTATCCTAGTGCCAGCACAGGTAGTCCTGTAGTGTTCATTGCTAGCAGAGTGTTTCTGCAAGCATGTCTGAACCAACTGCAGTGACTGAAATGTGATCTGAAGATTTACTCTGACTTGAGGCAAGTCTCTCTGCTCTTTTAGAGGTGCATGCTTATGATTGTTAAGACATGTCAGAAGCAGCAGCTGCCTCCAGAAGCCCCAGATCAGGACCCTTCTGCCTGGCCACTGTTATCCCAGCCTGGTGCCCAGGTACCCAGACTCTGCCCAAGCTGAGGGATGCAGCTGCTGCTTTCTTATTTGCAGGTTCAGTCAACCCTGAAGTTGAGCACCCGTCAGAGGCATGTGCACATGCACACACATAACACTTGGACAGATGGCACTGACATGGCTGGTCACACAGACTGCCCCAGCCAAGATGTTGCTGTCAGCAGCACCAACAAATGGGACCCACATAACAAGCACATCCAACTATGTCCCTTCCCATTCCAGGGCTGGCAGTCTTGCATGATGCCTTCAGGGTTCATAAGAACATGTATGCTCATGAGGCCCTCGAGCACCAGCACAACCCCTCTGTCTGCCTGGCATCTCTACCTGGGCCCACTCTCTGACCCACTCTCCTTATGGGTACATGACACCTGTGGGTACTCTAGTCACCAGCTGGTCCAGACTGATACACCACATCCAAACACACCTCCCCCCATCCCTCCCTTCTTCCCAGGCTCAGCTCTGCTCCTGATCTGTCTACCTTCTCCCCTAGTGGTGCAGGGGGCAGTGGATGGGGGTTACAGTCAGCGCACCACTCCTTCCTTCTCAGGAGGTGGGGTGAACACTGCACATTCCTCCCCTTCTCCTCGTGGCTCCCTTCTCGCTGGAGGCAGTCCTTCATGAACCTTCTCCAGTGTGAGTCCTCCTCACAGGATGTGACTTTTCCCATGCTGATCTGGCGTGGGTCACCACCGCGTGTTGCAGTCCTCCCAGTGCCGAAATAAAACTGCCTGCTTCTCCCCTCAGAGTCCTGGCTTCCTTTAAGCTTAGACACCTCCTCTGGTGTGGGCTCCTCCACAGACTGCAGGTCAGCCTCTGCTCTACCTTCATGGGGGCAGGGAGGGTGACCCTGCCATCTCACCATGGGATACAGGGGGCCTCTGCTCCGGCACACCTCCCCCGCTTCCTTCTCCTTCCTTCCACTGACCTCTGTTTGCATAGGTGTCCTTCCTGTAACTCTTGCTCACAGGTCCCAACCACCTCCCAGCTTCCCCTTCTTAAATAGATTATCACAGAGATGCAATCACCATTGCTGATTGGCTCAGCCCTGGCCAGAGGCGGGTCTGACTTGGAGCCAAGGGAGCTTTCCAGGAGCTTCTCACAGGACCCACCACTGTAGCCCCCTACCCTGCTACCCCAAAACCCCACCACACAAACCCAGCACAATCATGCAGGTTTGATCTCATTCTGGCAGAGCTGAGTGATCTGCACTGTTGACTTGCTTTGAGATTGGCTCTGTGCTCACTGTTGAGTCATATCACAGTATCAAAGACAGCTAGGCTTAATTCTTAGTTTTTGGAATGAGTGGTAGTTCTGCACCATTTATAACATTAGTCCATGTTACACATTCTTTCACATATTGTGAGACATTGCTGTTTTCCTAATTAAGGTTGACATTTCCTGTACCCCTTATGTCTAGTGAACCATGGCTCAGACTTGGCTGGGACAATTTTCTGAGACTTTAGGGGCATGTTGTGACTATCCCTGCTATAGCTTTCCCAGTTTAACCCAAATGTCCCTTCTCACAGCTGAAAGAACTGTAAATCAGAAGCTGGACTAAGCATTCTCACAGTCTTGCATCCCCTCATCAGTTAGTGTGACTGACCAGGTTTGGTTCTCATCACTGCCTCCTTTATTTGTCAGTCAGGTTTGTGTGCCCATATGTTCTTGTTTATGGCTTTCTCCATTTCTTAGTATCCATTTTTTTGCACTGAGAAGGTCCTTGACTAGATACCCTTAAGGCAGAAAGGACTGGTGTGAGCGAGGAAAACGACGGACTCCCTGCTGGCAGCTGGAGCAAGACTGCTGGTCACAGCATGCGTGCCTGGTGTAAGTTGCTGGGCAGGTGAGCGTCTGTATCCCCCACAGACTGGGTGTGCGTGGGGTGTGTGTGTGTATTCACTAGCAAACTTCAAGCTTGACCAGCATCAAGTAGGAGGCTCTGAGTCTGGGCAGGGGTATCAGGTGGGCAGGGGGTCCATGCTGGTCCAGGGATACCTGTGAGTGTGGGGTGCCTGGGGGACAGGTGTGTGAGGGCTGCATGTTTGCTGTATCAGGCTGGACCAGCTGGTGGGTAGGGTGGATCAGAGGGCTTGGGTCCAGGTATGAGTGCTGGGCAGATGAGAGGCTGTGCTGCTGCTCAAGGGACCTGCAAATGTCACATGCTTGTGAAGCCTGACAGTGTCATGTGTGTACCTGCACTAGTGACTTTCTGTCTCTGCCAGCCCCAGAAAAGGGGATGTGGCTGTCTGTATTTGTGCATTACATGGATCCTGTGTGTGGGTGCTGTTGACAGCAATCTTGGCTGTGGCAGTGTGACTGGCCCCGTCACTGTCATCTGTGTCTGTTTCTGCCTCTGTGTGTGTCTCTGGGATAGGTTCTTGGCTTTGCTACTCGTTGAACCTGCAAAGGGGCAAGTGGCAGCCCCATCCCTCAGCCTGCACAGAGACTCCAAGCCCCCAGGCTGGACTCCAGTCACTGGGCAGGAGGGGCCAGTGCCAGGGCTGGTGGAGATGATGGCTGCTCCTGACATCCCTTAACAATAAGCTTCACTGACTAATCCCAGTTTTGGGGATTGATGGACAAGCTCTGCACAGAGCCCATGAGACTGAGGGCTGTGAGGAACAGTGCAGTACTGTGTGACCCTTTTTTGCTGAGAAACAGACAAGCCTCATTTCTGCAAAGTCCATGCTATTAAAACCTATGTGTTTGAACCCTGTGAGTGCTCTCACCCATCATGCTCACAACCCAAAAAGATGCTTCAATTCATACCATTTGTTCTTGGGGTACTCAGCCCCCTGAGCTGGAAGACGAGGACAGGGAGTAAAATGAAGCCTCCATAATCCAAGGGGAAATGGTTAGCTACCTGCTATACCACTCAAATACACACAAGTCTATGGGGCTGGGTGTGATCCATCCTAGAGTACTAAGGGAGCAGTGGAAGTGCTCACCAAGCCGCTTTCCATCATTTATCAGTAGTCCTGGCTAACCAGGGAGTTCCCAGTTGACTGTAGGTTAGCAAATGTGACACCTATCTACAAGAAGGGCTGGAAGGAGGATCTGAGGAACTACAGGCCTGTCAGTCTGACACTGGTGCCGGGGAAGGTCAGCCTGAGTGCTATCACATGGCATGTATAGGACAACCAGGTAATCAGGCCCAGTCAGCATGGGTTTATGAAAGGCAAGTCCTGCTTGACAAAACTGATTTCCTCCTATGACAAGATGACCCTCTTAGTGGAGGGTCCCCTAACGAGTCTGTCTTTTGCCTGTAACCATAATGGGTGAATCATCCTTCCCTGTCCTTTTTTTGAATCCTAAGCGTTTTCTTATTTTCTCCTCAGTGCTGGGGGGGGAGGGGGGAGTGAGCAGCTGTGTGGTACTCAGTTGCCCTCTGAGCCCAAACCATGACAGCATCTTCTGCAGTTACCCAGAGCTCACTGAGCTTGTCCAGGCTCATTATTCCTGACTGACCTCTGGACCTCTGATCTTTGTGTGAGATAGAGCTATTTTCCACCCCACATACCCCCCCTTTTTTTTTCCCAAAAGGTGTTAGCATCTTCTGCTGCCCTTCATAATGGAAATCTGACAGTAGCCTAAAGTTAGATCATACCCATCTGCAAGAGGAAGAGTCACAAAGCTGATGTATGTATTGACCTGAGCAGTGCTGGGCTCCTCAGGGGTGGAAAAGACGATCTTTGGACCTGTGCCGTGACTTGGAGGGAAAGTATTTTGGTCCCCAGAAAAGCCATGGCATAGAAGCTCACAAGGGCCAGGAAGGGGCAATCTGCAGTTAGTCCTGAAGTCATCCATGTGAAGTTACTGGTCTGTTCCCACGTTTAGCTTAACTTGCAGTTAGAAAGCATGCTGCTGGAGTTTGGGAATCTTCTAGAGTTTAAATGGTCCTGGGGTTAAGCCAAATATGGAAAATGATGGTGGAGAGATGCAAGGTTTGCTGAAGAGACTCCTGCCTACTGGATGCCACAAGAGGCTGAAGGACTTGATCCCATGCATGGTGTTATTCAGCTTCCCCTGCCCCCTTTTTCCCACTGGGCTAGCTGAGTTCCTTCAACCGTGGAAGAGGACAAGAAGATCCATGCATGTGAAGGACCAGACTGAACTTCTGTCCCAGGTTCTGAGGCCCTCTGCCTCTGTACTTTATGAGACCCTCTGCCCCTTCAATATTTGCTGTTCAGCCGCAGTCTCTGTTTTTACATCCTCTGATAACCAGTGGTCAGCCACTACCACCTCAGGGACCCAACCATGCAGCTCCTTCTTTCCTAAATGGGTGTCTCCGTTGGCCGCCAGAACCTACAGTCTCTCTAGCAACTGCCCCCTCTGGTCCCTCCTGTACCAATTCTTCCAGTTCTTACTCATACACACATCTGGTTCCCAGGTCACTTCACGTACTCAGCTGCTAGTATGCCTGGATACTTGCTTACAGACTTACACAGCCTTGCTTGCTCCATTTGCTGGCACCATGGACACACAGGCCTTCTGACTCCAGTTTCTGTATTCAGGCCCCCATATGCACACATGCACACAGAATAGAGAGCCCTCATTCAGGAAAATAGTTTAAAATTAAATTCAATAAGGAACAGGAAAAACTGAACTGAGCCAGGTGCAGGGCATGGCCAGACAAGTATACTGACAAGCCTGTGGTTCCTCCCTTAAACATCCTAGAGTAAATCTTCTACAACCCTGAGATGCTTTTCCCCCTCATTCCATAATGTGTCATGTACTCCCTAGGCATTAACTCTGCCTCAGTCTGTAAGGTGACCCAAAAGGCTGCTACCACTGACTCATCAGGATGTGTATCACCCCCAGAGCATGGGGCTGATGGGTCTCCTGGGATAACCCTAGGAAGACCTGGGTCAGGGCACCCATTTCTCTGGTTAGGTTATTGCAGTTTCTCTACCTTTTGTTGGGCCTCTGTGCTCCTCTGTGTGTGTGGAGATCAGCTTTTTATTGTATGACCAAAGAAGTTAATTTTTTAAGGGAGCAGAGAGGAGCCTGAACCCAGCAGCACTGATAGGCATTTTGAATAACCACTTTTCTGAAGGCTTTACTGATAAGGGAATCCTGTAGCAATGACTGAACTTTTATTTCAAATCACAGATAAATGCAAGCTGTCAGAGAGACTTAGATGAATACAATGGACCATATAACCAACACAGATTAAACAAATATCTGACACTGATTTGATGCATAATTGCTAATTTAATATTTCTGTATGTTATGAAGATGCATGACATCTCAGAAAAAGAAGAAATTGCTGCTGTATTGCAGGTCTGATTAAAAAAAGTTGTAAAGATAAAAGATTAAAGGACAGGAGAGATAAGTTATTATACATTAGTTTAAATGTTTTCATTTTGAATGTGTCATGTACAGATGTAAACTTTAAAAATTAGTATTCACAAGCTCTGGCTTTATTACAGATTTTCAGGAAGTCAGTGATGAAGTGAAGAAATACATTTCAAAAGACTGCATGATATTCTGTTTCACAAAATCCAGATATTTTTCCCTCCTGTTTGTTTCTTCTGGGTTAAAAATAGCCATTAATTTATGAAGCCAATCAGTTCTAGAGGCAAAGATGACAGAGGAGTAGGAGGAAAAGACAGGACACTAAAAATAAACAAGTTTTTAAACATCTCATTTTACATGGTAGTAACATTTAGGTTATAATTATTGGAACAAGAACTGTGGACTATCAGTAAAAAGAGTTTAAAATATTTACAAATAT